TAAAGTGCATTTGCAAAAATGTTCCTGTCAGAAGAATTAATATCAAAACTCAGATTGTCATTCTGTGTCAAGGGCATTTCAGAATGGAAAAATGAATGTCTACTCCTCAGGGCTGCTTCCTCACACACAAACTGCCTGGGACACATGCATTCAGGGAGATTCTCAGATGTCCAGAAAACATACATCGTCGGTCATCATCCCATTTTTTAAGGGTTCAATTGGCTCTCTAAGTGTCACCGAAAAGGGACCAGGCCTGGAGCAGGTCTGCCTTGGGCCAGCCAGTAGTGTGTGGGTTCTTGGCTTCATGCAGGAAAGATCCACAACACTAGTCCAGGTGATTTTGAGAGTATATTTATTAGAGACTAATGAAACAAAGGAAAGGCTTGGGATAGAATCAGCAACAGGAGAGAGCCTAGGCAGGGCTACTATGGTTCCCCAAAAACATAGGAAAGAAATGAGCCAAGGCGGGGCTGCTGTCAGCTCACTGAAAAGTAAAAGTCACAGTGACAGAAGTGGGCCTAATGTTAGCTCACTGATAAGTCAGAGAAAAGGGGGCCTTGGACACAGATGCAGAGGGTAAGTCTGGATGAGCTGCTGCTGCCCGCTGTTCCCCTGGTTGCAAGTCTCATGGCTACCCTTCGAGTTTAGGAGAAAGTTCTCACCTGAGAAAGAAAGGGCATGGGTATGCTCCTGAGAGAGCCCGAGCTGGCATCCTTTGTCTTGAGAGCTTTTATTTCTCTTCTGCAAGTAGGAATCCTAGGGGAGGTCTCAGGGCAGGGTTTCAGGAAAATATTCATCAGTTTTCCAGGTGTATTTTTTAATATGTCGATGTACCAAAATGAGTGCAATAGAGGGACTAGGATCATTTTTTTGGTCACCTTTGCCTCTATCTTGGATTTGTTTGGTTCTAATTTGGTCATCTGTTATTTATTCCTTCACCTGTCCTTGGGTTTGGCTGGCACTAATGGCACTAATTGGGTATCTGTACTCTATCTCCCTGACCAGGGTAATTTAAGCTATTTACTCTCTGGTTAGGGAGGAGAGGTATAAATCATTTGCTCTCAAGTGTGGCAGTTAGATTAGACATGAACAGGGCAAGGCTGGGCCAGGTACAGAAGGTCACCGAGGCAAAAAGCCCTGGATGCCTAGCAAGGGGGCAAAATTGGGAAAACAAGGACCTCGCCCCCAGGGTAACATTTCCTCCCCTAGCATATCACTGGTCATGCAGTTTAGACCCCCAGACCTTTCCTCCCTAGAGATAACATCTAGGCCTTAGCTGTGTTTCAGCTCCAGGCCCAGAAAAGCAGCAAAACCCAACAAGTGACCCTACAGCTGACCTCAGTACCAGCATTGTCTAATGACCCCCTGCCCTGGCACCTACCAATCAATAGAGACCATGACCCTGAAAGGATATACCTAGAAAGATCATGAATATTCTATTGAGATCCTCTTCTGGGACCTCCCCTAAAACCCCCACCCTTAAAAGTCTGTGGGACAGAGGACCAGATGCTCTCCCTCCTAGGACCACAGCCCAGGCCTGTGTCTTCTCCACCCCCTCCCCTCCCCTTCCCACAGGCACCGTACCTTTACCTTCCTCTTTCCTAAGCTCCAAGGACCTCTCTTTTCCTCTGTAACTTGTTTCCTGAGCCTATTTCTTCTACCACTCATTTCTTCCACCTCTGTGATTTTCTAAATAAACATTCTCTTATAGTTTGAGTCTTGGCTCTGAATACTTTCCTCAAGTACCAAGAATTCAAGTACCGAGGCTGCTGAACCAAGGCCCATTCTGGTGCTGTTTTCATGCTGCCAACACTTGATTCGGGAAGATAAGATCTTGCAATTTACTGGCTGACTGTAAACTGTTTGAATTGTTGGCCCTATTTGTCTAACCATCTGTCTCAGTTTCCCTTTTTGCACTGGTCAAAAATTCTCCTAACGTCTAACTATCCTGCCTCATGAGCACTAAATCAAAATAAACTTAATAGACTATAAATATAAAATTTATAAATACATAAAATTAAGTCCAAAATTGTATGGTCTAAAATTATAGACTATAAAGATGAAATTAATGCCAGTAATTTTATCTTTATAAAAACTATCTGTGATGGTTAATTTAAAGTTTCAAGTTGGCTGGATCATGGTGCCCAGATACTTGGTTAAACTTTATTCTAGATGTTTCTGTGCTGGTGTCTTTTGGATGAGATTAGTATTTAAATTAGTGAACTATGAGTAAAGCAGATACCCTCTACAATGTGGCTGAACCTCATCCAATCAGTTGAAAACCTTGATAGAACAAAGGCTGACCCCCTGGAAGCAAGAAGGAATACTGCCAGCAGACAGCATTCAGACTCAAACTGCAAGTCCTCCCTGGGTCTCCAACCTCCTGGTCTACCCCATCACATTGTTTTTTCCTGGACAACCACGTGAGCCAATTCCTTAAATCAATCTCCTTATCAATCTCTATCTACACACATACCCACCAACACAGGATCCTGTTGACTCTGTTTCTCTGGAGAACTCTGACAATACACTATACAAAAGAAAACACAACTTTGCCTTAAAATTTACTTAAAAGGTATATGGTTTATTTGAAGATCAAAAATCACTAATATTACCTAAGTCAACAATAGTCCAAGAAAAGCTATTCAAATTCCCGATGTCTGGAGGCTTACTAGCTCTCCACTAGTTTCATTTAACTTACCAAAAGACTGATAAGAGACTTTGCTTTACTCAAATAAGATAAAATAATATGTTTAAAAATAAAGTGCTTGAGACTAAAAGTGAAGATGAAATATTAAAATATTTATTAGCAACTTCCAGTCAAGATGGTGGCGTAGGTAAATGCGGTATTGCCTCCTCCCACAACCACATCAAAATTACAACTAAACTACAGAACAACCATCATTCAAAACTGCCTTAAGTTAAACTGAATGAAAGTCCTACAACTACGAAATTAAAGAACAAACTACATCAAGACTGGCAGAAGGAGCGGAGGCATGACAGGCCGGTCCCACACCCACGTGTGGCAGACAAAAATCAGGAGGGATACCTCAGTTGTGAAGGTCTTCCCTGAGAAGCAAGAGGTCCTCATCCCACGCCAGGCCCCCAAGCTCAGGGTTCCAATGCAAGGAAGAGAAGTCCTTATAATTTCGGCTGTAAAAAGCAGCTGGAATTGAGGCTGAGGCTGCTGGAGCCCCAGGCAGCTCCTCTTAAAGGGCCTGGCAGAGGACCTGAATAGACACTTCTCCAAAGAGGACATACAAATGGCCAAGAGACATATAAAAAAATGCTCAATGTCACTAATCATCAGAGAGATGCAAATTAAAACAACTATACGGTATCACCTCACACCTGGCAGAATGGCTGCCATCAACAAGTCATCAAACAACAAGTGCTGGTGAGGGTGTGGAGAAAAGGGGACTCTAGTACACTGCTGGTGGGAATGCAGGCTGGTGTAGCCACTAAGGAAACAATATGGTGTTTCTTCAAAAAAGTATAAATGGGCCCTGGCCGGTTTGGTTCAGCAGTTAGAGCATTGGCCCGCGGTCCAGAGAGGCCCGGGTTCGTTCCCGCTAAGGGCACATACCTCAGTTGCAGTTTGTCCCGGGCCCTGGGTTGGGGTCATGTGGGTGGCAGTAACTCGATCTGTCTCTCTTACATCAATGTTTCTCTCTCTCTCTTCCCTCCTCTCTCCCTCCCGCTCTGTCTGAAGATAAATGCAAAAATGTCCTTGGGTGAGGATAAAAAAAAAAGTATAAATGGAACTGCCATTTCACTCAGTGATCCCACTTCTAGGAATATATCCTAAGAAGCCTGAAACACCAATCAGGAAGAATATATGTTCATAGCAGCACTATTTACAATCGCTAAGATCTGGAAACAGCCCAGGTGTCCATCAGTAGAGGAGTAGATAAAAAAGCTGTGGTACATGTACACAGTGGAATACTATGAAGCTGTAAGAAAAAAAAATCTCTTAACCTTTGAGATGACATGAAGGGACCTGGGGAGTATTATGCTAAGTGAAATAGGCCAGTCAAAGAAAGACAAGTATCACATAATCTCACTTTTTTTGTGGAATATAATGAACAAAATAAGCTATTGAACAAAACAGATCCAGAGACATGGAAGCAGGAAACAGACTGACAAACCTCAGAGTGAAGAGGGTTGGGGGAATGGGAAGAGATAAACCAAAGAACTTATATGCATATATGCATAACCAATGGACACACACAATAGTGTGATGAAGCTGGGGGAGAGGAGTGTCAATGGGGGGGAAAGGAGGGACATCTGCAATACCTTCAACAATAAAGATAAATTTTTAAATTTTCAAAAAAGAAGGTCCCCACGTCAGACTTACTGAATCATTCTCTGGGGAAGGAAACAGCAATGTGTGTTTCAACAAGGCCCCCAGATGATTCTGTTGCACACTAAAGCTTGAGAACCAGTGATCTCCAGTAAAGTCAAATACCTTTAATAATGGGGCACAACTAAATCAGAAAATTCTAGAAACTGAGTGGCAGAATTTTACTACATCACTATGGATCATGTGGAAGAAAATTTTATTAACATTGTCCTTCTTTTTTAAAGGTGTTTAATAAAAAATGCTTCCCCAATACTATCTAACTGACATTACTAACAAATTTTCTCATGATCTAAAATTTTCATTCCATTCACAGGCTGCTTTGTGCTCAACAAAACAAAACAACGCATCAAGTTTTTAGGGAGATGATGATACAGTTCCAGGCAAAACGTACAGACTGAGGTACCATATTATAAATTGCTAAGCTTTAAAATTAAGGTTTTTAGTTCTTCCATCACATGGGACATGAAACTCATCAGTAAAAACTAAAAAGGCCCACTGTATATAATATTTCTACAAAGTTTGCACTTACCTATATGAAAATTTGCCAAAGGAGACAAAATCCTGCCAAAGAGGCAATTCCTCTGCCAATTTAACTCAGGCTGTTAACATTTCTTTGTATAGGGGAAAAAAAAAATACCTTTAAACTGCTTGATCATGTTCTGATGGTTTTCAATGGCTTCCTTTAAAATCACTTCAGGCTGGTCCATCTCCCACCGCCATTCAGTGCCCACGGGGTTGGTGTGGTGCCTAGGAGAAAGAGGCAAACATTCGTAAGTACTCTATGAAAAAAGATCTCTTCACCTGGTACAAAGCAGTTAATAAAATCATAAAATCAGGGTTGATTTCCCTCTAAATGCTTGGCCATTTATGTTTATAGCTTTATTTTCTTATTTCATTAGAAATGAACAGAGAAATGCCTGGCCAAGATCAGGTTTAATCATAACAATATAAAATGTACATCCCTCTTCCAGCCACCCACTACCAGACTAACAAGCATCTAATAATAACTAACAGTAGAATATTGCCAGAACAGCCACAGCCTCATAGTGACAGACCCTCCCTGAGAGAGCACAAACGGAAGACTGAAAGCTTGGGAAGGATCAAATGTTGAGAAAAACCTCTGGCAGACCAGCCTCCATGCTATACACAGGTAGCCCTAAAGGAATGTTAAGCCACTGAGGGCATGCACAGAAACAATAAACCTTAATTCAAGCCCAACTCTGGACCAGATTAATCCCAATAAGAAAGGCCTAGTAGAAAGAAAAGGTGTGCCAATTTCAAACTACAGAAAACATTTACCTCAGTCTCTAATGTACTAATGTGCTATGAAAAATGTTCCACTTCAAACAAAAAGGTATAAGGTGTACAAAAAAGCAACAAAAACAACACATTTCTAATAGAAAACAATCAACAAAACCAAACTCTTTTGACATAAGTGTCGAAACAACGTGACAGGAAATTTTTAAATGCTATGATTTGTATGTTAAAAGCCCTAGTAGAAAAGGTGAGCAACATTCAGGATTAGATGGGTAAATTCAGCAGAGATGGAAATTATAACTCACAATCAAACAGAAATGCTAACTATAAAAAAAAATAGGCCTTCAACAGGTTCAAAGTAGATTAGCAACAGCTGAGGAAAGGGTTAAAAACCTGAAGAAACCAATACAAATAAACCAACTAAAATAGAAAAACCAAAAAAAAAAAAAAAAAATTAAGTGAAACAGAAGACACAGCTTCCAGGAGTGCTGGGACAATATCAAAGGTCCAAAATACACATAACTGGAATCCCAGAAGGAAAACAAAGAGAGCAAATTAAATAGTAGAAAAATTATAGCCAACAATTTCCCAAAGTTAATGAAAAACAACCACACATCCAAGAAGCTCACAGAACAACCAACAAGGTATTTTAAAAAGAAAAAAAAACAGCCTAAAAGTATCATATCCAAACTGATGAAATCAAAGGAAAATGAGAAAATCTTTAAGTTAGAGAAAAAAGACACAGTATCTAAGAACAAATATAAAAATTACATCTGACATCTCATCCGAAAACAAGCCAGACAAGACTATGACACCTGAGAAGGATGCTTAAAGGAAAACAAACAACAAAGTGTGTCAAGCCACAAGTCTATGCCCAGTGAAAATATCTATCAAAAGGTGGAGAAATGAACACTTTTGCAGAAAATCTGAGTGATTTCCTTGGCAGCAAATCTACATTACAAGATATGTTAAAAGAAATTGTTCAAGCAAAAGAAACATGATAGTAGTTTAAAACTTGAATCTGTATAAGGAAATAATAAATGCTGGAAAAAGAAAAATTAAGGGAAAATAAAATTTGCCTTTTACGTCTCACTGTTCTAAAACTAATTGACATTATAAGTAAAAAGAGACTCTACGTATTGTGCTTGCAGCTTATGTAAAAGTAAAACTTACGCCAACAATAGTCAAAGGATGGTAGAAAGGAACAGGGAATATACTCCTGTAAAGTCCTTATACTACACATAAAGTGATAGATTATTTGAAGATAAAATCTGATTAAATAAAGATGCATACTGAAAACTCAAGGGGAACATTAAAAAAAATTTTAAGATATACAAATAATAAGCCAAGAATAGACATAAAATAAAGTCATTAAAAATGTTTAATTAACATGAAAGGAAGCAGAAAAAAATTTTAATGAACACAGAGAAAAAAGAGAAAACAATAAGACAGAATAGTCTAAAACCATACCAATAATCACTTTCAACAGAAATAATTTAAACACACCAATTAAAAGACAGAGATTATCAGATAAGCTCAAAACACAAGACCCAACTATATGAGGTTAGCTTTATTCTAATACAAAAACCAGACAAAGATATCCCCAATATACAGACAAAATAAATAAATAAATAAATAAATACCTCTCATGAACAAAGACACAGAAACCTAAAAAAAAAAAAAAACATGAAAAAAAAAAAAAAAATAGCAAACTGAATCCAACAGCATAGAAAGAGGATAATGTGTCACAACCAAGTACCTTATCCCAGAAATACAAGTCTGGTTCAACATCCAAAAATCAATCATTGTATTTTACCATACTAACAGAATAAATATTTCTTAATCCATATGATAGCTAAATATCCATTCAGGACAAAAATTCTCAGCACACTAGAAATAAAAGGGAATTACCTTAATCTCATGAATGAGGTACAAAAAAAAAAAAAACCCTATAACTAACATCAGACTTAATGATACAAAAATGAATGCTTTCATTTACTAGCAGATACATGAGAAAACTATCCTTTCTCACCACTCCTATATAGCATGTAAGTACTAGTTAATGAAATAAGGCTAGAAAAAGAAAGATAAAATAAAACTCTCTTCACAAATGAGATAATTGTCTACATAGAAGATTCAAAAGAATCTACAAAAAATATGTTAGAACTAATGAGAACTAGTAAGGGAGCTGAACAAGCATAGAATATGCATGATTGATATATAAAAATCCATTATCTTTGGGATTTCCATTGCTCTATAGATTTTAATATTGAAATAGTAGCAAGAAAAAAATTGTAATTTGAAACAAAAAAAAGAACAATTTGTAACAGGAACAAAAATTATATACATAAGTATAAATCTGAAGTTACAAATATACAGAATCTGTACACTGAAAACTACAAATAACTAATATACGGGAGGAAAGACCTACATAAGAAAGAAACCTAATATACTCATGGATGGAAAAATTTCAATATTAAAATCTATAGAGCAATGGAAATCCCAATTGGCAGATAATGACAATATGAGTCTAAAATGTATATGGACAGGCAAAAATAAACTAGAATGACTAAAACAATTCTGAAGAAGGAAAATCAAGATGGAGGATTCACAATACACAATTTCAAAACACGTATAAACCTATTCTGATCAAAACACTGTGATGTTGGCCAAGGAAAGACACATATATCAACAGAAACAGAATGAGATACCAGAAACACACCCACACATACTGTCAATTGATTTTTGGCAAAGGTGAAAAGATAAACCAATGGAGAAAGAACAGTCATTCAAATTTTGCTGCAATAATAGAATATCCAAAGGATAAACAACAACCAAAAATAACCCCTTCTATTCATATTTTAGACATCATCAGTAATAAGACAAATTGATAGCATGAACATTCTGATATGATGTACTGAGAAGAGAGTATGTTTCTCTCTCACACACACACACACCCATAATCTCAATAATAAAAATACACTAAATACAAACCAAACTGAGGAACCTTCTACAAAATATGTGACCAAAATTTTTTTTTAAGTGTCAAGGACATAAAGACAAGAAAAACTAAGGCACTGACACAAACAGAAAAAGTCTAAAGACATATAGAAATCAAATAATGCAATGTGGGATACTGGACTGGGTCCTAGAACAAAAAAATAACAGTAATGGAAAAACTGGCAAAATCTAAGTAGTCTCCAGTTTAACTAAAAGTATTGTATTAATATTAATTTCTTGGTTTTGATAATGGTTCTATAGTAATGTAAGACGCTAACATTAGGGGAAGATGGATGAAGGGTATATTGGCAGCCCATATACTACGTTTGCAATTTATCATATAAGAGACTTTCTTGACCTGGCTGGTTTGGCTCAGCAGTTAGAGTGTTGACCTGCAGACCAAAGGGCCATGGGTTTGATTCCAGTCAAGGGCACGTATCTCCGGCTGCATTTGATCCCAGGCCCCAGTTGTGGTCATGCAGGAGGCAGCGAATCGGTGTCTCTCTCACATGGGTGTTTCTCTCTACCTCTCCCTCCCATCTCTATCTGAAAATCAATGGAAAAGTGTCCTCGGGTGAAGATTAAAAGAAAAAAGAAAGGTGTTCTTGCCTTCAAACACTAAACATTGTTGGAAACACAGGAAATAAGAATTTGTATTCACATACTGAAGTATAAATTGATACAACTGGTGTCATATATATATGTACCTATATAGGTATATATACAAGTATATAGGTATATATACCTATATATATATTAAAAAATACACTCTATCAGCGTATTAATTACACAGTCAGCTATAATAGCAATTAAAAATTGTAATTGCAAAAAATAAACCCATGTTAGTCAGGAGCTTTTGCTGGTTTTCAATGCTGGACCCAGTGTTTTAATATGCTGTTCACTCCATGTTCATGAATAAAAGCACACTGAAATTTTTGTTTTTCATACTGTATCCTGTATTGGTAAGAAGGTTACACTAGCATCTTAAGATGAGTTGAGATGTGTTGTCTCTTTCTTTGCTATTTGAAGAATTCCTTTTCCTAGGATGTTTGCTGGAACTTATTTATAAAGCCATCTAGGCCTAGTTTTTTCTTTTTTATATTATTTTACCTTTATCCTCACCCGAGGACATTTTTTGCATTTATCTTCAGAGAGGGGAAGAGAGAGAGAGAAACATCGATGTGAGAGAGACACATCGACTGGTTGCCAACCACACAACCCCAACTGGGGACAGGGACAAACTGCAACCAAGGTACATGCCCTTACCAAGAACCAAACTTGGGACTCTCTGGTCCGCGGGCCAACGATCTAACCGCTGAGCCAAACTGGCCAGGGCTAGGCCTAGTTTTTTTCCTAATATGATTTGTAAGTACTGATTTAATACTGTAGTGATTATAGGATGACTCAGGATGATGTTATTCTTGAATTACTGTTTTTGCCATTTTATTTCTTGTATTTTTTTTTAATTTACTGGGATGACACTGGTTAAT